GCAATCCACTCACCTCAGCCTCCCAAAGCCACGGGATTACAGGCTGAGCCACCAAGCCCGACTGACTGTTATACCTTCTATAAACTATATTAATATATTTTATGAATAACAACCAGGCATGGTGGCTCACGTCTATAATCCCAGAGCTTTGAGAGACAGATGCGAGAGGATTGCCTGAACTAAGGGTTCAAGACCAACCTGGGCAACTTGGTGAGATCTTGTCTCTAAATCAAAAAATTAGCCAGGTGTGGTGGTGTGCACCTGTGTTTTCAGCTACTTGGAAAGCTGCCTGAGCCCAGTAGATTGAGGCTGCAGTAGCTGTGAGCGAGCCACTGCACTTCAGCCTGGGTGGCAGACTGAGACCCCGACTCAAAAAAATATTTTATGAATAATGCACACAGTTAATATTTATTTTTTAAGACCCACATTTCCTTCATAAACTTTTTGCTAATGATTTTTATTGAATACCGTCATCCCAGCAATGAACAATTTCTTTTTCTTTTTCTTTTTTTTTTTTGAGTCAGAGTCTCACTCTGTTGCCCAGGCTAGAGTGCAGTGGCATGCTCACGGCTACCACAGCCTCGACCTGCTGAACTCAGGTGATTCTTCCGCCTCAGCCTACCAAGTAGCTGGAACTACAGGTATGCACCACCATGCCTGGTTAATATTTATTTTTATTTTTATTTATTTATTTTTTTTGACTTGGATTCTCACTCTGTCACCCAGACTGGAGTGCAGTGGCCGCTCCCGGCCACTGCAGCCTCGACCTGCTGGGCTCCGACAATCCTTCCGCCTCAGCCTTCCGAGCAGCCAGAATTACAGGCGCGCGCTACCATGCCCGACGAATTTTTTGATTTATTGTAGAGATGAGGTCTCGCCTTGCCCTGGCGGGTCTTATTTTTATTTTTAAAGTCAGAACCTCACTGTGTCACCCAGACTGGAGGGCAGTGGCACGCTTAGGGCCACTGCAGCCTCGACCTGCTGGGCTCAGGCGATCCTTCTGCCTCAGGCTTCCAAGTAGCTAGAACTACAGGCATGTGCCACTACACCTGGCTAATGTTTTCTTTTTTTGTAGGGACAAGGTCTTGCCAAGTTGCCCAGGCTAGTCTTGAACTCCTGGGCTCAAGCAGTCCTTCTGCCTCAGCCTCCCAAAATGCTGTGTTTGCAGGCGTGAGTCACCACTCCCAGCCAGGATCTTTGTTTTGATATTGTTTTTTAATTTTATGCCATCCTGTCTTACAATAGACGCTGAGAAGGAGTGTTTCAGGAAGGTTATTTGGAGTAGCTGTTGGGGATTTAAGTGTTACCATGATGATGAGGCATATGCCCTCTCCCCAGGAGAAAGGATTGCAGGGACGTGGCCAGTATCCCTGTTTGCATCCTTGCTGTTCAGAGCACAGAGAGTTGTTATTCCCATGGCTGAGGGCCTGCCTTCCACCAGGGATGGTCCCTCACTCCCCGCAGCTGCTGCTCTGCCTGAGCACAGGAGGTGAGGGGGCTAGGACACCATCCTTTGCCCTTGCTCCTTAGGTAAAGACGATCGGTGCTCACTTTGGCAGCACAGACACCAGTGTTAGAGCTATAGAGAGATCAGTGTGGCCCTGTCTGAGGGTGACATGCCCATCCGTGAAGGGGCCCCTGCTTTCTAATTACAATAACATTTTTAAAAGTGAAAAAACATTATTGGACAATGGGATTTTTTCAGACAGAACTGTGATCCTATAGGCCAGCTACAGGGCACGTCTGCTCAAGAGTCTGCCTTGAAAATTCATCCCTACTGGCAGGGCTCAGCCCACATTTAAGTGGAGATGGCAGGTAGCTGTTTTGACCTCTGGTCCCAGCTCTGTTGCTCCCGAATCTGGCGTTTCCAGAGAGCTTCTGTTTTGGAAGTTACTGGCCTCCAGATGGGTTCCGTGTATCTGTTCTTTCCTGTTGAAACCAAGAAGGAAGGAAGGCATTTTAGTGCTAATCTAAAACATAAAGTGTTTTGG